TCTTCAGAAGCAGAAACAACTCTCCTTGTATGTTCTTCTCTTTCAGGTTGCTCAAGCTCATCTTGAACTTAGGGGTGGGATTTTATACCCAATAACCGGAGAATCGAACCATACCAAACCGAAAATTACCGGTTCGGTTTGGTTATATTAAAAAAAAAATAGTTTTTAGGTTCCGGTTATTTTATGCACAAATCTGTTCCGGTTTTCGATTCCTCTCCAAATGTTTGTGTATTAACCGAAAAACCGACTATATATATGAAATATACATATTTTATATGTTTTTATATATAAATCGGTTCCGGTTCATGGTATATAATATTCGGTTCTTCAATTTTCATTTCGGTTCTCGGTTTTTCATGATACATTTAGCACATGAGTTGTATTTTTTTTTTGTCTTTTATTAACTCAAAACCAGTTATTTTCGTTTTTTTCCACAAGTCGGTTACCCAAAGAACCGAAAAAACCGAACCGTTATAACACGGTTCGGTTCTTTTTCGGTTCCTATAAATAATTGTGTAATAACCGAACCGGTTATTTTGGTTCGGTTCCGGTTTCAGTTCCTGAAAAATTCGTTAGGAATCGGACCGGTCCCAGCCCTACTTGAACTCCAATGATATAATTATCAATATAATCGTAATTATCTTCCTCAAAACCAGAAACATTATTCCTTGGATGCTCAACAGATTTATCATTGGCATCTTCATTCTCACTCTCGTAACAGCCTACATTCTTTCCGGAATTCTCATGCTCTTCCTCATTGTCGTCGTCATCATCCTCATTCTCAGAACAAACACCCTTCTTCCCTGTCGAAGCTTCATTTTTCTTACCACCTTCCACATAAATATGAACATAATGTTGCATTGTCTGCAGTACAACAATCATTTCCATCACCTCCTTATCATTATGAATGATTTTGAAATCAAATGTCCCTGTAATCTTTAGTGAAGACTAGCCCATTCATTGTATCCTACTTTCTTAACTTCTTCCTCAAAGCCAAAATAACCAAACCTATCAATATCAAGCCCATATCTAAAAGATTCATCACCTCCAAAATACTCCTTAGTGTTCTCAATAGTTACAAATCTTCCCCCATGGTGTATAAAAAGCGCAAAATCATTTCTGCATATTGAAAAAAATAAATGAAATACAAATAAAAAAAACCCTAACATCATTTTACCCTAAACCATAATCCAATGAACCAGAAATAAAAATTGCATCGCACGATCGCAACAGACAAAATATACAATTGCATATTCATAATATCAAATTGCATTGCACATTTTTCGCAGAAATCATTATTCAATTTCCCAACAAGAACTTATAAAAAAAAAAAAAACAGTGGATTGACTTACCTGTTGTCCGATTTTGAAGGAAGATTCCACCTTGGGGGACCTATAGCTTTTTGCAATGAAAGGAAGCAGAGATTTAAGGTTTTTTGAAAGAGGATTCTTTTTCTCACTGAAAGAAGAACTAATTTTAATCGATTCAGGGTTTTGTGAAAGAGGAATAGATTTAATCGAATCCGTCAGATTTTTCGGTATTTATAGTTCGTTCATGTCATTCACATGTGGACAAACATTTTGCTGTGTCTTTTTTTTTTTTTTAATTCCACCTAATAAATTTATGTTGGACACGTAAGCACTGATGGCCGGTCACCGGCTCTCGTGTATTGTTTTGCAAAGAAATCAAAAGTTGTAATATTCTCAGCTAAGATCCAAAAGTCGTGATATTTTAACAATTTGATAAAAATTGTGATATAACAAGTTATTTTCCCCGCATACACAAAAAGTAATCATGAGTCACGAAAGAGGACTTGGTTGCCTTGTCATTCTCAGCCACTCACTGTTGGGCACGTGGACGCTCTCTCTCCTCACGTGTCACCTTCCGGAACCCTACCTCCCTCCCTCCCAATTCGCCACCCCAAATTTCGCCGGAACACAAACAGTAATTTCTCTCTCTCTCTCTCTCTCTCTCTCTCTCTAATCTGCAAGGGACTAAGTCCTTTTTTTTTCCCTTTATATTTATCTACGTTGAAAAAAAAAAGAGAAAGAAACAGTAGTTGAGCAGTACAACCACTGAGCTGTAAGGTACAGAATATATGTGTAGTTTCCGTTATTATTCCCCGTAATCCGGACGGCCACCTTTTGTGCCCTGCCCTGCCTTGCCTGCTTCTTACTTGATTTTTCCTTTTTTTTTTTTTATTTTAATTATTTGTTTGGTTCAAAGTTTGCCGTACGAATAAAGCCCATCAATTTGGGAACCCTCATAGATAGATTCCATGGAAAGAGTGTGAGCAGCGCCTTCTGATTTTTTTTATTTTTTTTTGGTGTTATATATATATATATATATTTATATAATATTATCGACCTATCCTATCCTAGTTGGACTCTCTCTCCTTCCACCTCACTCACTCCCCATCTTTCAAAACCAGGTCAGGTCAGTACCCTTTCTCTCTCTTCTCTTCCTTTTCTTTTACCCCTAATTTAAAACCTATGTTCGCTCACCAGTACAAGACACCATCTTCTTGGAACCAATTTATTTATTTATTAATTCATTCTGTTCTGTTCTGTTCTGTTTTCTTACATAATTGTCTTGTGTGGATAATATAAATGAATTTTATTGGGTCTTCTTGGGTGATTGGTTTATTTTTAGTTCATTTGGGTATTTCTTAGCCTCTGGTGTAATCTGATATGCTCATAAATGATGCTCACGCTTATTTGCAGTGATAACTCTTCGGAGTTCCGTGTCGTGCTTTTATAGGATGTGTCGTGCTTTTTGAATTGGATTCAAGAAATTGTAATCTGATATGCATCTGTGTGGTGTTTTTTTTTTTTTTTGGTTGTTCCTTTGCACGATATAGTTGTTAGTATGTGAAATTGGGAAAGCCATGAAGAAATGATGTCAAGAATTTAATTGATCTCCATGATTTGATTAGAAGTATAGGTAGGGTAATGGTTTTTATGGTAAATTCATGGTAACACAAGGTTCTCTTTCGTTTTGCATTGCGGTTTGTGAACGAGCCTTCGAGTATTATTGTTGGACCTCTTGTTTGCTTGTTCACTATCATATATATTAGGATAAACAAGAGGATAAGAGTTCTGTTTATGACAATAGATTGATCTTCTACGAGGAATAAAATGTGAAAATGCAGCTTCTTTACCGAACTTTTCACATGGTACTGTTAACAAAATTGGATTTTTTTTTTCCTCGTGTTCTACGCAAGTTTTCACCTTTTGAAGCCTAGAGTATTTTACTTTTAGAATACTACCTATGTTTCATGTAATAAATGTGTTGTGGCTCCATTCGTAAAATGCACAAAACCTGCCGGCGAGGCTCCCTCTTCTGGTTCTTGGATCTCTCATTGCCGAAATCACATTCGAAACATGCCTCCACTTAACTCCACTTGTAATCGCCCCTTGTTTTAGTCCCCTCTCGTCCATTTTCTTCATGTATCGCCAACTACGACCAGGAAATTCACATAGACGAAAAGCACATAATAGAGGTTGCTAAGGAAAATTTTTCTTCATTTAAATTTTCCCAGAAATTTTTATTTTCTTATTTCTCTTTCTTTTTGCTCATTTCGGAACTCATGGCTGGCATATTCATTTTTTATATAATATGTTAAAGACACATGTACACATGCACTTTGCGCCCAGTTGGCTACCAAGCTTTCCCCAATGATAAAAACAGAATCTGGCTTCACAACTAAAGAAATCATCACAAGCTCATCATTGTTTGATATCTTCATTAACAAATGTATTTGTATTATGGCGAGTAGCTTGATGGAACTTTGGAGTAAATAAGGTCACAGTTCAAAATATATCATTTACATTATATGATAGAGGGAACAATTACTGGCCAAAGCATGAAAGTTTTAGATCGGTATGGGGAAAATTGTTGTTCCTATATAAATAATTGATTCGTTTAGAAATTATCTCTTTTTTTCAGCATCTTTACGAGTGTGTTTGATAACGCACCATACGCTAACTTATAGCTTATTTAGTTAGCTTATAAGCATCTTGTATTTTAATACATTTTGGTTTGGTAGGATGGCCTTCTTTAAAAAGTTGGGACTTATCTCATAGTTGATAGGTAGCTTTTCAAAATACCCATTGAAATTTTAATTTCAGCTGCCTTATTAACTACTTTTACGCTTTTATTATATCAACTAGCAATGCTATAAAATGGCCGCAGTGGTGTGGCAATTTTTGACCTACCGCCATGTTAAATTAGTGAAGGATGGTGGGGATTTGGCCTGCTACCACCGTTATTGCCGTCAGCCATTAATAACACGTCACCTAGTTTTTCAGCCACAAGCTATCAGCAATAAGCTCGAAATTCACTTATAGGATTCACCAAACACCTTACACCAAACACCTTACGTGGTCGAACCTGGAGGAAGTTTGTTACTTATTTTATTCATTTATTTATTGGTTTAGAAAGAATGAATGAAAGAAAGTTCCATCTCCCTTAATATTTTATTCATATTAATAATGTTGTCGTTGAGCAAAGTTTATCTAATTAAACATTGGGATTGTGAGACTTCCTTTTGTTTTGTTTCACCAAGTCACGTATGTTCAATATTCTTTCAACACTGGGTTAAACACAAGTGAGAACAGATGCGTAAATATTTAGTCTGAATATCTCATGGAGTTTTCATTTGTTTAATTTGACATTCTAACGGCTGATAATGTTGATGCAGCCTTCAGATACTATATTTTACTTATGATAGCAATAAAATAAATCTTATAATTAAGCGTGGATAGCTCATATGTTGGTTATTCACTCTTCAAGGCATTAATAACACAACTAGAGATTGTTTATTCATGTCCATTTACGGTATTGTCCCTTGGACAAAAAATGATTCTAATAGTTTTTTGCCATCACAATTCACAGAACATTGCCAAATGATTGCCTTTATTTAGCTACCAAAACAGTGCATCCTCGTAATCAGAACAAGCCATTAAGGTAGGCTATTGAGTCTGCACATTTTTGCTCTGATGGGGTCCGGGGAAGATGGGACACCTACAAAATCTTCGAAACCTGCATCCTCAGTGCAGGTAATCCTTTTATTCCGGCTTATCTTCATCATTTTTCATACAATCAATTGTTTTAACCATTCCTATCATTTTTTTTTTTTTTTTTCAGATTTACTTAAACTCTCTGTCTTTTCTTTTAATAATTGTTTTACCAGGAAGCATCAAGTACACCTACTACACCTGCCTATCCTGATTGGTCGAGCTCTATGCAGGTTCTATTGCTTTACCAGCTTTCGCTTGTTTTGTAACGTATAGTGGTCAACTTCCCTAAAGAATTTGTTGCATATTGCATATTTAACTGAGGCACGTGCTCTTTGGCAGGCCTTTTATGGTCCTGGAGCAACTCCACCTTTCTTTGCTCCACCTGTTGGCTCTCCAAGTCCTCATCCCTTCTTGTGGGGAGGCCAGGTGATTATTCGGATATGTTGAATGTTGTAATAATTATTCTAATCAATACAAGAGTACTTTATGCTCTCTCACTGGACATGCTCGTTACATTTCAGCATCCTCTCATGCCACCTTATGGAACACCCGTGTATCCGGCTATGTATCCTCCTGGAGGAGTTTATGCTCATCCTAACATGGTTATGGTAATTAGGATCTCAAAAATTTTGCCATATAGTTTATAAAATGTACTTATTAACAGAATTTCATCGATTCTCATTTTTATAATTCTCAGTCAGTGGTTCTACCATTTTTCTTTATGTTTTTTT